AAGTCTGGAGAACTATTCCTGAAGACTACTTAAAGAAATTACAAGAAAGTTTGCCTAAAAGAGCTCAGGCTGTGTTGATGAATAAGGGTAGTCATGCCAAATATTGACTTTCAAGTTTATTAGAATTGTTCAAACACTTAATGGATTATTTCCCTTTGTGTTTGCGTATTTCAATAAATATTTTTCCTATCAAAATATATAGAAATGAGGAGGTGGCTCAAGGCTTTTGCACATTACTGCAGATTTTTAACAATGTATTTCTTTTAATTGAATGAAGAATGATCACACTTCTGAGAAAGCCTTTAAAGAATGAATATTTCTGTACAAGCTCATCTGAACAGTTCACTGAAGTGTCAAGGGCTTTTACCACACGTTTAAAAAACCCAATCTGATCAGCTCTGTGGGCTTGTGTTTCTGTCAGCTATCTGAGTGTTTGTTTAGACCAATTAATTATGGTTGGCAAATATTTTCATTTCCAAGGATGCGTCGCAGTAGGGTGCCTCCAATCTCATTATCAGACTGTGTGCAGAAGTGGGAAGGAGAATCAGCTCTGACACAAAGTGGTTTAAAAAGAAATATGTGTTTAAGATAATAATCAATCACGTCTCGGGATTAAAATATTAGAGATTCATGGCAGAAGCTCTGACTCAGCCCTTACTCATCTAGGCATGGACTCTGCTAAACCCCTGAAGCTGTGCTGTGGTACCAAGATGTTAGCAACAGATCCTTTAAGTCCTGAAAGTTGCAAGGTGGGCTTCCCATGGATTGTACTTGTTTGTCCAGCACATCCCACAGATGTTCAATTGTATTGTAATCTGGGGAATTTGGAGGTCAAATCAACACCTCAAACTCACTGTTTTGCTCCTAAAACCATTCCTGAACCATTTTGCTTTGTGTCAGGGCTCATTATCCTGCTGAAAGAGGCCACAGCTATCAGGAAATACCATTTCCACGAAAGGGTTTACATGGTCTGCAGCAATCCTCCAGTAGATGGTATGTGTCAAAGTAATGTGTGGTGCCAGGCGTTTCGCAAGTAAGTGACCTACATGCACCTGGCCATGTAGGTCAGGTGCAGGTGCAAGAGAAGACATGATTCATCCGACCACACCACTTCCTTCCATTGGTCCGTGGTCCAGTTCTGTTGCTCTTGTGCTCATTATTGCCGTTTTCAGTTATGGACAGGGGTCGGGAATTGTCAATTGTGAATTTCAGCTTCAGTAGCTCGCCTGCTGGATCTGGAAGCAGCAGGCGAGCCTACCTTCGTTCCTCAAATACAGTACATCAGTGAGCCTTGGCCACCCATGACCCCGTCGTAGGTTCACCACTGTTACTTCCTTGGACCACTTTTAATAGATCCTGACCACTGCAGATCAGGAAGATGGGAAAATCCCATCCAGTCATCTGATCATCAAACATTAATCCTTATACCTGCCCATTTTTCCTGCTTCTAACAAATCAGCTTTGGGGACAAAATGTTCACTTGATCCCTAATATATCCCACCCACTAACAAGTGCAATGATGAAGAGCGAATCAGTGTTATTCACTTCCCCTGTCAGTGGTCAGAATGTTATGTTTGATCAGTGTATAGAGAACTGACTAATCAAATTCATGAGATCAAAGAAGGCCTGTCTTCTACTTTAGATCAGAAGAGTTAAACATTTCAGAGAAAACTTCACTATGATGAAAATGCTGTATGACAGACCTGTTGTGTGTCAGAAATCACTGACTCTGTGAACAAAGAGTGTGGAGTACCCGGCCCACCCTCAGAAAGAAGATCAGCTTGTCACGAGTAACAAAGAAAAGTGGCAGAAAATCTCCACTTTGATGTTTTCAGAGAACTCACTGGAGACTAAAAAGGCACACTGTGTTATTTCATTGTATTGTCACACTGACAACAACAGCATTGTTAGTGTGCTGCTTCTGCTTCCATTACATATGTAAACTGGGGTTGATGCAGCACAGGCCTTGTTTTGTTGATTATACAGGAGTGCATAAATCTTTCCACTTAAACTGCTCTCAGCTCACTGCGTGACGAAGCAGAGCTCACCTGCATGTCATGTCAGCAAAGTCTGCAGCAGTCAATTAAACCCTAGTGCATGAAAAGATATCACAAGAGTAAGAATATTCAGTATCATCACCAGTTAATTTTTTTATAGCAGCAATAAATAGCTTTGTCATTGTTTTGCTTCACGGGCAGTAATCCAAATCACCTCTGGACATAGACATTAAATTAAGGTCACATATGATGGGGAAAGAAAAAGGCCTATTTTCATTTAGCTCCGCGGGACAAAATATTACACTTGACGTAGTTAAACAGTCATTCTAAATTTGAAATTACTGTTTAACTTTCGAGGGATATGTTGATTTACCAATGTCATATTTGTCCTTTGTGTCCCGGGATATGGCAATGAACAGCTCATTTAGTATTCATAAGTGTGTAACTGATTGCTAATAGCCTATTTAACACAATTTTGTGATGACTAATTAGTGACTGATAAGGTGCTCTGCCCTGCTCTAATGGCTTAATACTGTGTATGTAATAGTTGTACCATTTGATACTGAGACTCCATAGAGACCAGCTTGTGGAGGTCAGATAGGCTGACACTTCACTGCAGTTGAGATTGTTATCATAGGGAGGGCCATAACCTGCATTTCATTTTTAGCACATTTACTGATGTAGTTATATATAT